CCTCTTGTGTCTGTGTCCCTTCTCTGGAACATCCTGTCTCTGTCTACCTTGTCAATTTCTCGTAGTATTTTATATGTCGTTATCATGTCCTCCCTGATCCTCCTGTCCTCCAGTGTCATCAGGCCGATTTCCCTTAACCTTTCTTTGTAGGACATTCCCTTAGCTCTGGAACTAGCCTTGTTGCAAATCTTAGCACCTTCTCTAATTTCTTTTTTGTGTCTGACCAGGTGTGGGTTCCAAACTGGTGCTGCATACTCCATTATGGACCTGACATACACAGTGTACAGAGTCTTGAATGATTCCTTACTGAGGCATTGGAATTCTATTCTTGGGTTGCCAGGCACCCATATGCTGCAGCAGTTATCTGGCTGTGTGCTTCAGGAGATGTGCTCGGTATTATACTCACCACAAGATCCTTCTCCTTGAGTGAGGTTTGCAGTCTTTGGCCACCTATCCTATACTCTGTCTGAAGAATTCTTTGCCCTTTCCTGATCTTCATGACTTGGCATTTGGCAGGGTTAAATCCAAGGAGCCAGTTGCTGGACCAGGCTTGTAGCCTGTCCAGGTCTCATTGTAATTCTACCTCATCCTCGAATCAATTTAATTCTCCTCATTAACTTCGCATCATCTGCAAACAGGGACACTTCTGAGTCTATCCCTGTCATCATGTCATTCACATATACCAAAAACAGCACTGGTCCTAGGACTGACTCCTGTGGAACCCCGTTCATCACATGTGCCCACTGTGATACCTCGTCACGTACCATGACTCACTGTTGCCTCCCTGTCAGGTATTCTCTGATCCATTGTAGTGCCTTTCCTGTTATGTGTGCCTAATCCTCTAGCTTTTGCAGTAATCTCTTGTGAAGAACTGTGTCGAAGGTTTTCTTGCAGTCCAAGAAAATGCAGTCTATCCACCCCTCTCTCTCTTGTCTTACTTCTGTCACCTTGTCATAAAACTCCAGTAGGTTTGTGACACAGGATTTTCCTTCCCTGAAATAGTGCTGGTTGTCATTTATAAGACTGTGTCTTTCTAGGTGATCTACCACTCTCCTCCTATGATCTTCTCCATGACTTTGTATACTATACACGTCAGTGACACAGGTCTGCAGTTTAATGCCTTGTGTTTGTCTACTTTCCTAAGAACTGGGACTACATTTGCCATCTTCCATAAATGTGCTTGGGATGAAACTCTACCTTAGGAATTCATTAACAGGTGGGATGAATTAATTGGTGATTATGAAAAAATTACAATGCTGGAGTTCCCACACCAGGTGGCCAATCCAGATGGGAAAAATATACTCCACATTTTTTGTGATGCTTCAAAATTGGCATATGGAGCAGTTGCTTACCTTCAATGTAATAGCGTTATTTCTCTTGTTATGTCTAAGGCTAAAGTGTCTCCAATTAAATCACGTACCTTACCTCAGTTGGAATTAACAGCCATTTATGTAGGTGTCAAATTAGCTAATTATATAAGAAATAATTTTGCAGGAGATAAATATTAGCGACACTGAAAATTTGGTCTGATAATGAGGTATCCTTACAATGGATTCGTAATTGAAACAGTTAAAATTGTGTAGTACAAAACAGAGTCGCTGAAATTAATCAGATGCAAGAGAAGTATAATAGTTTGGGTCAGCATATGTTAAAACATTTAATCATATACTGGTGAGGAGAATCCAGCTGATTTCTTGTCTTGAGGTTTACCTTATGCAATTTGTAAGTGCTGTTCAGGGTTTAAAGGACCAAGCTGGTTGGAAAATTTAAAGCTAATTGGCCTTTTACAAAAGGCATTTATTGCTCCTGTGGAAATTACTGTGACCACAGCTCCAATGTTTGTCCTTCCTTAGCCATTTATATAACAGGTATTCTTCTTTACCCAAACTAATCAATGTAACTAAGTTTGTTTTAAATTTCTAAAACAAGTGAATATTCATATAAACTTTCCCCATCCTCTTGAATATTGGATAAAGAGGGTACAGGGAAAGAAAAACATGGAAATGAAATTAAACTGATGATGGAAAGATAAAATTGTGAAAGGTTCCATAATAGAGAAAATGGGGCTGTATTTAGAGAACAATGTAATTAGGGGGCAGAGGGTAGGTTACAAAATGCTGAATTGGGTGATTATGCTAAACACCCCATCTTACCGCCCAAAATCATCATCTAACAAATTTAATTGTTTTTAAATGCCCATAAAAAAAATAATGCATGGTGGGTACAGATACATTAAAAATTTTATTAGGGAAACTTTCTGGATTCCCAAGGACGGCAAAAGTGTTTAAAAAAAGGGGATTAAAACTTGTGTAATATGTCGCCGTGTGGATGCCAGATCCTATATGTACCCAGGTCCTCCACCATTGCCCAAAGGAGCGTGTACAATTAGTGAAACCATTTGATGTAACAGGTGTAGACTATAGTGGTCCAATCATTTTAACAGGTACTTCAGATGGTGTTCCACTGGGAAAGTTTTATGTATGCTTGTTCACTTGTACTGCTACTAGGGCAGTTCATTTAGAAGTGGGGTCAGGACTTGTTGCCCGAACAGTTTTATACAGCTGTTTCAAAAATTTTTCAGCTAGGAGATCCTGTCGAGATTGATGATTTTGGATAATGCCACAAATTTTGTAGCAGGTGCTCAACACTTGATAGAATTAAATAATAGTAACAATGTTCAATCTCTGTTAACCCAGCGAGGGTGTGCCTGGAAATTTATTACTCCTAGAGCCCCTTGGCAGGGGGGCTGTATGAAAGACTGATAGGCACAGTGAAGAGGCGTCTCCGTAAAGTACTACACCAGAAGAGAATTAATTTGGAAGAATTCCGTGCAGTGTTAGTGGAGGCGGAGAATCGAATAAATAATAGGCCTCTCTCGTATATGAGCGATACACCTGATGCAGATGTATTAACACCTTCTCACCTAATATGTGGAAGGAAATTGGAAGCTGCCCCTGTCTATAGAGATAATCCTGAAGAAAATCTAAGGGAAAGTGACACGAGTGATATTGAAGATAACACTGACCAAGTGATGCAGGAAGAGGAAATTGTAGTAAGACCTACTAGGAGAACAGCCACTCAAGCCAGAACCGGCTGGAATCGTCTCCTAGAGGAAGGAGTAATTTGAGTCGTTTAGCAACAAACTCCGCCCGGCCGCAGTGTGGAAAATACTGTATATATTCACAGAAATACAGTATTTTATATGTAAATTGATGGTTTATATTGTATTTAATAAAATTATATTATAAAAAATGGGAAGCTCTGCGCCTGCGCAGAGAGTCGCCATTGTGTTTTTGAATGAGCCAAGAAAACGTTAGTGAAAACAAGAAGAATTTTTGTCACTCTAGAGGTTATATTGGGTTTACACCTCTCAAATAGGAGCCAAAATTGTTGGATGTGCATTTCTGCATAATTTGAGCATTAAATCAATGTACAGGACAGCTCCAGGAACCTCAGATAAGCTATCTAAATTATGTTTGTAATTCTGGCCAATATTATCATCATAAATTTAGTTAGAGGGAGGTTTTTGAGTATTATACACAGTAATCTCCAGACTAATTGGTGAGTGTTATGATTATAAATTCTCCTTCTGTTATATAAATGTGTATAAGTAATCATTTATTAATTTTAATATACAGTCCACAAAAATTATAATAACTTTACCAGAATTCCTGGTGTGTAATGTACATTTCATTTGTAATTAATATAGGTCTAGAGCAACTTGTGGATATGACAGTTGTAGGTATCGAAGGGGGACATTTTTGTGACCTAGGTGTCCCAAATTCCTACTTGTCTATGTAACTTTGATAAATAATAATTATCTTAGTTACCATTTACTGGTATGTACCTTATGTTACATCCAAGTAAATGTAATTTTCCATAATTATCATTTCTAATATGGCGTCACTTGTGCAAGTTGTCTGGCTACCACATCTCATATTTATGTTTATTTATTCTACTGTGGGGTGTATTTATCATCTTCATATGTTATGCAGCATGTTTATTATATAATTTTGAAAAAAATATCATAGATGGATTAATGAAAATGTGTATATTAACGTAATATGCGACATTTCAATGAGACTCGGTGATTATTATTATCATTACTAATATGACATCTCGAGATATAAGACACTCTTATATCTCGAGATGTCATATTAGTAATGATAATAATAATCACCGAGTCTCATTTAAATGTCGCATATTACGTTAATATACACATTTTCATTAATCCATCTATGATATTTTTTCAAAATTATATAATAAACATGTACAGGTATACATAAGTATAATTACCAGAGTATATATAAAATATGAAATAACTTTTAAAAACACTTGAAATTTTGGAGTTTCCAGACATAATGGAGAGACTTAGTGCATACAGATCTCACAGAGAATGTAAACAAACAGGGTGGGGCTCGGTGACCGTATTAGAAAGTCAAGTGGGGGAGCCATATAGCGAGTTTTGGTCATAATTTGAAATGACCGTATTAGTGGAACGCCGTAAATCAAAATGCCGTAAAGCGGGGCCCTACTGTATATACGACCAAAAGTCAAAGGGTTAATTAATATAGACTTTCATTAATCCATCTATGATATTTTCTTCAAAATTATATAAGAAACACATTACAGTGGACCCTCGCCTAACGAACGCATCACATAACGTTAAATCCGCCTAGCGATACATTTTAACGCAAAAATTTTGCCTCGGCAAGCGCTAAAAAACTCGCCCAACGTGATTCATTCTGTTCGAGATGCGTCCACGTGTGGCCTGGGCGCGCCTCACTTGTCCCATGGGTGCCAGTGTTTACAGGCCAGCCACCGCTGTCGCATCCAAACATACAATCGGAACATTTCATATTATCACAGCATTTTTAGTGATTGCACCTGCAAAATAAGTCACCATGGGCCCCAAGAAAGCTTCTAGTGCCAACCCTGTGATAAAAAGGATGAGAATTAGTATGGAAATTAAGAAAGATTTTGAAGGGTTTGGGGCTAACCCTGAGACGCCTATGCCAATTGTGGAATCCATTGTGCCTACTTCAAAGATTAAGGAAATGTGTGCAAAGTGGGTTGAACTGCAAACCTTTATGGACGAAAATCACCCTAACACAGCTATTGCAAGCCGTGCTGGTGACTATTACAATGACAATGTTATGGCCCATTTAGACAAATCTTAAAGGAACGGGAGGTACAGAACTCTATGGACAGATATGTTGTGCGACAGAGGTCCAGTGACTCTCAAGCTGGTCCTAGTGGCATTAAAAGAAGATGGGAAGTAACCCCGGAAAAGGACTTGACACCTCAAGTCCTAATGGAAGGGGATTCCCCTTCTAAACATTAACACCATCCACACTCTCCCCTCCTCCCATCCCATCAATCATCACAAGATCTTCAATAAAGGTAAGTCATGTAATTGTACATGTCTTCTTCAGTTTGTGTGTATTAAAATTAATATTTCATGTGGTAAAAAATTTTTTTTTCATACTTTGGAGTGTCAGGAACGGATTAATTTGATTTCCATTATTTCTTATGGGGAAAATTAATTCGGCTAACGATAATTTCGCCTAACGTTGAGCTCTCAGGAACGGATTAATATCGTTAGGCGAGGGTCTACTGTACATAGCATATAAACATGCAATGTTTATATGCTTCAGAGAAAGCGTGTATGAATCTGCGTTGGCCCAGTAACCGCCCTTAACACATAACGCTTATGTTTACAAATCTCTGCATGAATTGTTCATTACTTTTCCCTTTGTTTATGATGGCATCTAACGATTAAACTCAGTGAACATGGTATGTCGATAGTAATAATATGACTGTAGGCCGCAGTCTATGTAGCCAGTAGGTACACACCAAGGATGTAGTCCACCTGGGACTAAAAATAAATACTACTCACCAACAAGAGTCTTCAATAAAGGTATGTAATGTTCATTTATCACTAAAATTAGTCATTCATATTTATTTCTCATTGTTTTCCCAATGTAGCTATAAATTTTTATAGTGGGCTTGAAGACGACAAATTATGCAATATCATAGTCACTAGCGAAATGGTCATCAGATAGACCGACTGAAGCAAAATAAATCCCCGGGCCCTGATGAACTTTTTTCCAGGATTCTTAAAGAGTATAAAATGGAACTTTGTGAACCATTGACTAATATTTTTAATATTTCTCTTCAAACAGGTGTAGTGTTTGATATGTGGAATATGGCTAATGTAATTCCTATTTTTAAAGCAGGGGACAAGTCGTTACTGTCAAATTACCGCCCAATAAGCCTGACCTCAATTGTAGGCAAATTACTGGAGTCAATTATAGCTGATAATATAAGAAGCCATCTGGATAAGCATAGCTTGATTAATGATACTCAGCATGGACTCACAAGGGGCCGTTCCTGCCTAACTAATTTATTAACCTTCTTCAGTAAAGCTTTTGAGGCCGTTGATCATGGTAAAGAATTTGATATTGTTTATTTAGATTTTAGTAAGGCATTTGATAGAGTACCGCATCAGAGACTGTTAAAGAAAGTGGCAGCTCATGGCATTGGGGGAAAAGTGCTGTCATGGATCAAGTCATGGCTCACTAATAGGAAGCAGAGTATGCTTAAATGGGGTTAAATCCGAGTGGGGATCTGTAACAAGTGGCGTACCACAGGGATCAGTTTTAGGCCCGTTGTTGTTTATAATATATATCAATGACCTTGATGAGGGTATTACTAGTGATATGAGCAAATTCGCCGATGACACGAAGATAGATAGGATAATTGATTCAAATGCAGATGTTAGGGAACTCCAGGAGGATTTAGACAAACTCTATTCTTGGTCAGAAAAGTGGCAGATGCAGTTCAATGTAGATAAATGCAAGGTTCTGAAGCTCGGGAGTGTCCATAACCCTAGCACTTATAAGTTAAATAATGTAGAACTTAGCTGTACAGATTGCAAAAAGGACTTGGGGGGTTATGGTAAACAGCAACCTTAAACCAAGACAGCAATGCCTAAGCATACGTAATAAGGCAAATAGATTATTGGGATTTATATCAAGAAGTGTAAGCAATAGAAGTCCAGAGGTTATACTGCAGCTTTATACATCATTAGTAAGGCCTCACCTAGATTATGCAGCTCAGTTCTGGTCTCCATATTACAGGATGGATATAAATTCGTTAGAAAACATTCAGCGAAGAATGACTAAATTAAAACATAGCACTAGAAATCTTCCTTACGAAGAACAATTGAAGACTCTTAAACTACATTCACTTGTAAGACGAAGAATGAGGGGAGACATGAACGAAGTGTACAAGTGGAAGATGGGTATTAACAAAGGGGATATAAATAAGGTCTTGAGGATATCTCTCCAAGAGAGAACCCGCAATAATGGATTTCAGAACACCAATACACAAGCAGGTCTGACGATACAAGGAATGCCTGTGTACAACACCGTAATTCACACAACCATTTAATAAACTACAGAAATTCAAGACTTATCGCCAGAGAAGACAACACTCAATACCGAAGAATCCTGGAATCATCGCTTATCTCTATGACCAACAACTTCAACCAGAACAACGGCTTCTATAACATAGCTGAACCACTTGCCAAGAAACTTCTTCATCGCTATCCCACATAAGAGCATAGGAATGGAGGAACACTGCAGAAGGTCTGCTCAAAAATTTATCCAACCTCCCTTCCAAGCTACCCAAGATTTTAGACTCTATAACCCCACTCGGTAGATCATCAGATGTAGCATTCTCCACCTGACCACAGCATTCACGTACCTTCCACCCCAGGTAGATCTGTTTGTGACTTGAAAAAGCCTACTGTGTCTGCGAAACGTTGTCAATAAAGGATCACATTATACTGCATATGTGTTTATATTTCCATTGTGTCGGTATTTTATACCATTTATTTCCATCCAGGAACGACCTCATGCTGAGATTCATTAATCATGCTCTTCAAGGTGACTTCTAATAATGTCATCTATAATTGATTCTAATAACTTGCCCACTAAAGATGTCAGGCTTATTGGGTGGTAATATGAAGGAACGGACTTATCTCCTGATTTGAATATAGGAACCATATAGCTGTAATTTTTTTACATGATGGTAGGATTCCTGGTGTCTTTTTTCTGTCTCATAAACATGCAAGATTTCAGGTATATCTTGCCACTTTTACTTACACTTAGGTCACATTACACATGCATATTCACGCTTATGCATACACACATGTCTGAGCTTTCTTTGGTTTTATCTAAACAGTTCTTGTTCTTAATACTATTCCTTTCATATCACTGGGGAAGTAGAATAAGAATCTTTCCTCCATAAGCCATGCATGTTGTAAAAGTCAACTAAAATGCCAGGAGCAATGGGCTAGTAACCCTTTTTCCTGTACAGCCTACTAAAAAATGGAAGAAAAAAACGTCAAAGTGCGATGTTTGAATGTGTGTGGATGTAGTGCGAATGATAAGAAAGAGATGGGTTGGCTGTGAAAACTGGGTTATAATAAGTGTTTATGCACCTGGAGCAGAGAGAAGTGTAAAGGAGAGAGAGAGAGATTTTGGGAAATGTTGAGTGAGTGCATGGGGAGTTCTGACCCAAGTGAGAGAGTACTTGTGGTTGAGGATCTCAGTGCTGAAGAGGGTAAAAATGTTGTGGAGGGAGTAGTTGGTAAATCTGGGGTGCCAGGGATAAATGAAAATGGGGAGCCTTTAACTGAACTATGTGTAGAAAGAGGTTTGGTAATAAGTAATACATATTTTATGAAAAACAGGATAAGTTTACATGATATGATACAGCACATAATTTAAAGTAGTATCTTAGATTAAGTATTGGTGGATAAAAGGCTAATGGGTAGGCTTCAAGAAGTGCATGTTTATAGAGGGGCAACAGATATATCAGATCATTATTTTGTTGCAGCTACAATGAGAGTAAGAGGTAAATGGGGTAAAAAGAAAATGGCAACAACAGGTAAGAGAGAAGTGAAAGTTTATAAACTAAGGGAGAGATATAAGCAACTATTGGCAGAAAGGTGGGCTAGTGCAAGTATGGGTAGTAGGGGGAGGGGTTGAAGAGGGGTAGGATAGTTTGAAAAATGCAGTGTTAGAATGTGGGGCAGAAGTTTGTGACTATAGGAGGGTGGGTGCAAGAGGAAAGAGGAGTGATTGGTGGAATGATGAGTTAAAGGATACTATAAAAGACAAAAAGGTCGCTTATGACAGATTTTTAAAAAAGGAGAGTATATGGAGAGTAAAAGAAAGGTGAAGAGAGTGGTGAGAGGGTGCAAAAGGAGAGCAAATGATAGAATGGGAGAGGCACTGTCAACAAATTTTGACGAGAATAAGAAAAAAAAATTGGAGTGAGATAAACAGGTCAAGAAAGCCTAGGGAACGAATGGATTTGTCAGTTAAAAGCAAATAGGGAAGTTAGTAGATGGGGAGCTGGAGGTATTGGGTAGATGGTGGGAATATTTTGAAGAACTTTTTTAAATGTTGATAAAGAAAGAGAGGCAGTAATTTCATGCACTGTCCAGGGAGGTATAACATCTTGTAAGAGTGAAGAAGAGCAGAATGTGAGTGAGGAAAAGATGTGTGAGACATAATGTAGAAAGGAGGTAAAGAAGCTGGAACTGACAGAATCATGACAGAAATGTTAAAAGCGTGGGGACATAATGTTGGAGTGGTTGGTATTTTTGTTTAATGTCTGAAAGAAGGGAAGGTACCTATGGACTAGCAGAGAGCATGTATAGTTCCTTTATGTAAAGGGAAGGGAAGGGGGACAAAAGAGACTGTAAAAATTATAGGGGAAGAAATTTACTGAGTATACCAGGTACAATGTACGGTAGGGATATTATTGAAAGAATTAGAGGTCAGACAGAGAGCAGGATTACAAATGAACAAGGAGGCTTTAGAAAGGGAAGGGGATGTGTAGATCAACTGTTTACATTGAACCATATATGTGAACAGTATTTAGATAAAGGGAGGGAAGTTTTCATTGTATTTATGGATTTAGAAAAGGCATATGACAGAGTGGATAGGGGAGCAG